GAGAAGTCCTCTCTCCCAGAATTGTACTTTTCCCAAGGACACAGGCCACAGCTGACTAGCATGTTCCAAGTCCTACGAAAAACTGGTTCAGTCCAGTTCCCAAAGTCTCAGTGAAATAAGAAATGTGAATGACACCAATCAGTATATTTATTAAAATAAGCTACATATAACTATTGGCTGCAAAAAAAGGGAAATTTTGGGAAGGCCTCAGCAAATTCAAGACAAGCTTCTGTAAGCCTGCACACCAACTTCCTCCTCCCTCCTATGTCTCCCCCAGCTGGTATAGGGTGGGAATCTGTATTGCTCTGTTGTAGACAGCTAGATAGGCATAGAGACAAAGTCTTATTCTTACGCTTTGGGGTGTACTCAATACAAGGTTAGAGTACAGACCTGTCTCTTGCCTCTTTATCAGACATAGATGGTAGTAATACCTTACCTGCTTAAGAGGGAATGGATAATCACTGGGAAATGCGACTGCATCTTGATTTGGCGTACAAAAGGGTAGTCAGTAAAGGAGTTGAAACTGTCCCTGAATTCTGTGTCTGAGTTTGCAAAGAAGTCCTGATCAAAGATAGGCTGTAGTCTTGTATCTTGCACAGCACCGAGCATTTGGTAACAAAACCCCATGTCTGCGGGCCATATCCAATGGCTCTGTGGGTTGTTGCGCACCCTTGCCCATAGCATATGAGTAAAGCTTCTAGTTTCTTTTTAATTAGAGAGAAATAGGCCTTATATTATGGAATGTTGCACCACACAGCCTGCACCCCCTTTTTAAAAGCAAAAGTTTATGTACTGGGGGATTTTGGCACTCAAAGGGTTGGGCAGTAGCTGAGCAGGGATTTGAGGGTCTCAATTTCAGACTGCAATGCTTATGGGCATGCAAGCCCCTTTGTGGATCTCGCTGCAAGTTCTCAATTGATCAAACACAGAGACTGATCATGGAGATGTTTCAAAATGAGCCACTAAAAGCCAAATCACATAAATTCAGTGCAGAGGTTGATTCTCACTGATGACAAGGCTTCCCCTCCTCATTGTTCTTTGTAGCACACGATGGCTCAGAGCACTCGCTTCAGCACAGATGGTTTTCTCTTCCCTTTCCTGTAACTTTTACCCCTCATCTGAAACAATTGCTAGCCACCACCCTGCACATCCAGAGGCACACAGATCCCTGGCCCTAACCACTGAAAGCCCACAGGAAGTAAGATGTGTGGGAAGGTGAAAAGTATCACCTGCTCTCCTAAGATAAACAGTTGCCTGTAAACAAAGGAGGTCTCTGTGGATCAAAAAAGCTCTTGCAACCCTATATTCCTAAGGCAGCAGCTTACCACAGTTCTTCAAGGAAAGAAGAGGGTGTTCTGTAGGCAGTGGCTCCGGGGTTGTGACATCCAGACCAGCAGCTGCAATCTGGCCACTGACCAAGGCTTGGTACAGGTCCTCCTGATTCACCACAGCTCCCCTGAAAAAGCATGGGTTACAAACACCAGTTTCCAGCCTGCAGACACTGGCAAACATCCTTAAACTTGAAGATGTGCAGTCCCTTTGGATTCAATGGAACTAAACTGGCAGGGAAAGGCCCTTAGGGATCTAAGCACTGTATGTGACTTTATTAGTCTTGTTTAAGAATCAACACAATCTGGCTGTTTTGAGGTTTTTTGAAACAGCTGCAACATATTAGTGAAACATTTCCTGTAAGCAGGTATGAACTCAGATATCACTGTCTTCTTGGCTGGCAATAGCATTTGAATTCTATTTGGACACAAGTGAATTTTAACAGTGGTTAATGACCAGTTAACACATCTGTAGCCTCAAGAGAGCTATGACGTAGTCTCTGGTCAATGCCCACACTGTTCGGGGTGGCTCTTGCAATGATGGGGACATGCTCACCATATGAGGGGCTGGGGGCAACCCCTCAGAGAGGAGACTGTGGTTCCACGGCTGGGCAGCACTGCCTTGTGGCTCAGCTGTGCCCACCACCCCCTGACCACAGCTTGCTCCCTGCCACTGACCTGGCATGCCACTCATGCTGGAGGTCACTAAACTATGTACAGCCTATTGGCTAACTGTTTCACTACTGTAACTGGAAGAGGTTAAAAGGTAGTGCTTCAAACAATATTTACATCCCTGGCTGTGGCAGGCCG